GTGAACTCTTAGCACCTTGTCTCGCATAAATGATGAGATCACATTTCTTTTCGCTGAGGGATTGGTTTTTAATGAATCGAAACAAGAACATCCAGTGGTTCTTTTGGTATGAAGAAAACAAGGGAAATAGTGACCAAAAAAGGCGATTTTTGATTTCTGATAGGTGACTTCATTACATGATGAGCTCTGATAGGTAAATTACATGATGTGGCTCTTTCTGATAGTAGGTTAAGGTGTCTTTGGGCAAACATACTTAATAAAGTTGGAGGATTGTGGAGATAATTTCCAGCCATTTCTTCAGAGCCACTCATATTTGTACAGTCATTCACAGCTATTTCAGTGTAATTGGGCAGATCACCCAAGGGCACCCTCTGTTCTGCAGCTCCCAGGGGGATCTTCAAATTTATCCTCTAATTATTCTCTAATCAAAATACGGAATTATTTTGGGTCTAGAGAACAAAAAAAACATCCGATTTGTGCTTGGTGGTTTGTACTGTAGGCTTCCAAAGTAATTAGTGTGTTTCCAAGATCATCGTATATATGGACATCAATAATTTTCTCAAATGTCCACCATGGGGAGGGACGTGTTTAGGAGCTGTCAGAGTTCACATGGTGTAGGGACGGGGGTTTGGCACCATGGTTAGGATGCCAGTTGGGACGCTTGCAATCATGTCAAAGTACCCTGGCTCGTCTTTTAACGCACACCCTGGGAGGCAGCAGGTGGTAGCTTCAATAACTGCATCTCGGCTACTCGTGTGGGAGACCTGGACCACGTTCTGTCCTTTTGGGTTCATCTCTGTCCCAGTCCTGGCTGCTGTGGCCTTGGGGAGCGAATCTGTGAATGGGAGTCTTCTTTATTTTCTCTCTCTCAAATAAATAAAATCGAAATAATAAAAGTAATGTAGTTATAGGGTCCATTTTTTTTTTCTTAAGGGGTCTTTGGTATGGAGTCACCCAAGTGCTTATTTGAGGAACATTCTTCCTAAACGGAAAAATTCTTTTAAAGCTGTGCTGTGGGGAGGCAGGTAAGTGGTGTCTGCGGTGGTCTCTGTTTGTGTGGTTCTGACATTGGCAATGCTGGAAAGACTTCTCTCTTGCAAACACTTTTCAAAGGCAACCTGATGAATTGTTTTCCCGTCATGTTCAGGTTTGTATTAGACAAATGTAGCAAGTTAGATATTCTTGGAAAGTCAGATTTACAGAGAAAAGGATAGAGAGGAGGGACCTTCCATCTAGTGATTCACTCCCCAAGATACTGCAACAGCCAGAACTGATCCAGTCCGAAGCCAGGAGCTTCTTCTGGGACCCTCATGCTGGGCCGGATCCCCATGGCTTTGGGCCTTCCATCTCTGCCTTACCAGGCAACAAGCAGGGAGCTAGACGGGAAGTAGAGCATGCAGGACATGAACCAGTGCCAGATCCAGGCGTGTGCGAGGCAAGGACTTCAGTCACTAGGCTATTGCCCCAGGCCCATACTGCTTTTTCTACTGCCCTTGAACTTGGTGTAACCTCTTGGGGACATTTTGTCTCCTATCCTCCCATTTCTGCTTTTGTCCAAAGGTCAGTGAAATGAGTGTGTGACATTTTGCGTACTGAATGGTCTTGGACTCTCGGAAATTGAGTACCTTTTTATGAGAAGGGAACTTCCAGTTTTAAACTCTGTGGTGAGTTGGTGACTGTAGGGTTGTGCGTCTTTTCTCTCTGTCGCATATGAGGACACTTGACACCGCGGTTGGCTTTCTGTGGCTACCGCTTGCTCAGAACAGCAGGCATCACCATGAAAACCATTATTTACTAGTGCAGTACTGTCTCGTTTCCACACTGAGATGCTAATGAATTCCTGTATTTCTTTTTCCTTTTTAAAAAATAGGTCTTTTCAAGATAAGTAGTTTTTCTGGAGCTGCAGAAATGGTTGGTCCTACCTACAGATGGAAACTCGAAATTTCTCTGAAATATATCCTGGAATAATTGTGTTTGGAGCCGAATCTTAGGACATCTCCAAGGTAAAATGATTTTAACACACATCAAAGTATTGAAAATTTCACGAAACTGAGTACCCAAGAGTTGATGTTCTTTCACTCGAATGCCTTCCTTGACATAATCCTGGAGTTTTGAAAATCTGTCATTCTTTTAATTTCAGTTTTCACCTTTGAAGTGAAATTATTTCAGTGTGCAAAGCAGTGCTTGAGTTTATTTGGTAGGAGAAAAGCTGAGGAGGGTAAAATTATTGCTGAATGCCATTCCCGCCGCACCTCACTGCCCCTCCTGGCTTTCTTGGGTGCGGATTGGGGTGGGGGTGAATCATAGCTACTCGGAAGGAAGCACATGTTTCAGGAACTGGGAGCTTGTGAGGACTCGCCCAGGAACATGCTTTGGACAGGTCAGGATGGGTGATTGTTGTATGGGATTTGGAATATCTGCCCTTGAGACTTTTAAAAGCGCTATTTGCAGCAGACAGACCCCTAAGGCAGGCCTCTGGGTATGCACTGTCTTGTGTACATGCTCCGTGTCACTTCCTCCCTTGCATGTGCAATCATTGCGGGGCTCACTCTTTTCATTAGGTTATAATTCGGTGGCACAGATGATGGATTCGCAAATGGAGTTGTGGTCTCAAATCAAGTGGCGTTGAGCTCATGCTGGGTGGGCCTGACCCAACCAAGCAGGTGAACCCTACAGAGGGACTGAGCTTTCCTGAAGGAAGGGGGAGGGCAGGTGCATGACAGAGCTCCGAATGCAGCCTGGGGGTGGGAGAGCAGCTTCTGGCCAGGAGGGAGAGCGTGAGGGTCCTGGGAACGGGCAACCTGGCTGAGTCTTCAGAAGAGGGTACACCCAGCTGACGCCTGAATCTCGGCCTGCTGCCCTCTGAGTAGAGGACCCAACAAGAGCATGCTAGCCTCCTAACTTCCATAAATGCACAGGGAAGGCATGCACGGGCTCTTAAACTGCCGTCTTGGATAACTAGTCGCAGAAACCTCAAACGTCCCGAGCTGAGACATGCACACCGGGCTTCCAGAGTTTCATTTCTCTGGGTGCATCTTCCAGCCCCAGGGCACACCCAGCGGGGAGTGCAGAATCTGTGGAATTACTTCTGGAGGCAGCAAAGAGATCGTGTAGCCCTCAGATGAGCCTGAAATTCATTTGTGTCGTCCTAGTATGATTTGAGGGAAAACAAGAGGTTCTAAATCCCATCCTTGGAATGTATTTATCTGAGAGGCTGGGGCAGATGAGCTGCGAATACCCCATCTGCTGGCTCATTCTCCAAATGGAAACCAGGGACTTGGTCCATGTCTACCAGGTAGGTGACAGAAAGCCCATCACACTGGCCGTCACTTCCAGGGCTTGCTTCAGCAGGAAGCTGCAGGCAGCAGCCAGAGCCGGATAGCGACGCCAGGTCTTCCAACGTGGGATGCAGCGCAGGTGTCTTCACTGCTCCGTCAAATGCCCAACTGATGGGTGAATCTCTTAATGGGATACCTTGTGTCGCACACCATGGTTGAAAAAAAATTCAGCAGTTAAGCATAGTGTCACTTTCCTCTTAGCCAAGGGGCAAAGATTCATAGAGCACAAGTGAATACAGAGGTGGGGAAATGTTACTGCTGGGTGGAGATGCCAGAGGGGAAAATTTCAAAGTATCCAATGAGTAGAGTATTAGATTTCCACTGCTGCATAGCCTATGACCCATGCCTAAGGTGGTTTTAAAATAGTTGGGAAGGTGAAAAGAAGCCAATGCTTTGTCATTTCATAATCTTAGAATCTTGTTCTGGCCCGGCTGCTCCAACAACAGGCCAATTCTCAAATCAATGAACAGTGTGACACTTTCTTCACAAAATCTGTTTGGCTTAATTCTGAAAGGCCAAGGGAAAGAGTTGGTGCTGGAGCCTGGGCCTGGACGTGTGAGGTGCACGCATGGGTACCCCGAGGCTGTGTGGGACATGGTGTTGAGCTCTGGCAGGTGCACTGCTGGTTGACCCGCAGGTGCGAGACACGTCTTTGCCTCCTTCGACACTTCCTCTGAAGTCCCACCCTTCATGCTGCGTCCACTGCCCCAAGGAGCCGTTGTCCTGGCTCTGTCACTACGTGCTCTGAGTGCTTTAATCTGTATCGTGCACAGTCAGCCTCATGATCTGTGTCTTCTGCCTGTAGGGATTCAACCAAAACAAATTTTCGCAAGTAGCATCTGAGGGCTGGCAGTATGGCTCAGTGGGTTAAACTTTGGTTTGCAGTGCTTTTATCCAGTACTGGCATACTGATAGAGATTGAGCCATCTGCTGGTTTACCTGCCAAATGCCAAAGCTGGGCCAGGCAGAAACGTGGGAGCCAGGGTGTCCGTCCAGGGCTCCCAGGTGGGTGGCAGGGGCCCACCTGCTTAGAAAGTTGAGTTGGATTTATTTTCTTGCTTGCCATACTCCTTGCTTACCTTTGGGGTTGGCTTCCTACACTCTGGATCCAGCCTGCCAGATGAGAGGGCCTCACTACCCAGAGAAGAAACCAGGAGAAAGCCCTCAGCCACATGTGCAGAATTTTCCTGGGCTCTTTGTGGTACGGAAAGCATATTTATTTTGCATCCAGCTCTCAGTGTGTAACTTGTACATTTCATATTTCACGTCAAATGCAATGTCCCTGCTTGCATTAAAGCAAACTGGATTATGCCTTGGGGACTGGTAAATGGACTTCTCACTGAAGCATGGTGCTAACTTGGGAAACTCTTAATTGCAAGAGGTGTTGATTGAAAATTGAGTCAATGCTCGGTGTGAATTGGATTTGATCTGCTTTCAGTTTCCCGGGCTGGAAAGAAGTTGAGCACCAGAGATTGTCTTTCAATCCCTGCCCTGTAGGATGGTGTTGTCTGGGAGCCTTGCCCTTTGATCTGCCTTCAGTTTCCCGGGCTGGAAAGAATTTGAGCACCAGAGATTGTCTTTCAGTCCCTGCCCTGCAGGATGGTGTCTGGGAGCCTTGCCCTGTGCTGACCTCACTGACTTGAGCCCTGCTCTCTCTCCAGGATGCGAGTGTGTACCAGGTCGGCGTTGCTGTTGCATGGGCTGTTCCTGGTCTACGTGTTCATGGCGTGCTGCAAGCTGATGTCTGCCTCAAGCCAGCACCTCCGGGGACACACAGGTAAGGCCTCAACTTGCGGTGCACCACTGAGATCAATTAGCAAAAACCCTGTCCAAGGTCAGAGTGCGCCTTGTAGACACAGACAACCGACGAGGGCTTTGGGAGATGGGTGAGTAACCGGAGAAGGCAACACGCTGGGCAAAATTGCTGTGGAACTGTTTGGTTGGGCAGACAGCTTTTGAAGATGTTTTCTAAGCTTTCTAAACTTCACTGTTTCTGGGCACATTTGTAGTTTTGTAGGTTTGCTCCTCCAAGGGGCTGAGAAAGCCAGCAGCATTTTGTGTGTGGTCTCCTTAGCGGCTGGAATGTTTGTACTAAGAAACTTGAGCACACAGACTGCTGGACTGAAGGAACCTGGCAGACAGTTCAGGGACTTTGAAATGACTGGAGGTGCAGGCAGGCAAGATATTGAGTGCTTCAAAAAGAAGATAGGAAAGAAGCAAAAGCTGCCAGAACTTGTGCCTGAGTCCCAAGATGGGATGTGTTTAAAGTAGAGTTGCTACCTTGGGGTGAAACTTGTGTCTAAGTACCATTTTTCACAGTGATGAAGACTCAGCTGAAGAGGAGCCTGCTGTGTGTGTGTGTGTGTGTGTGTGTGGTTGGGTGTTTCTCTTCCCCTGTTACATTTGTGCTTAAAGTAACACAGACTTGGCAGTTAAGGTGCTGGTGAAGACTCCCATGTCCCTTGTCCGAGTGCTCGTGTCTGTTAGGGGATAATGCAGATTGCTGGAGACCGTGTGATGGCCGGATTCCTGCCACCCACGTGAGAGTCCTGGGCTGGGGACCTGGCTCCTGGCTTTGGCTCCACTGCTGTAGGCATTTCAAGACTGGACCAGAACATGAGATTGATTCTCATGTTCTCTCACACTCTCTCTGTAAAAGAAGTCAATTTTTTTTAAAAAAGATTTATTTATTTTTATTGGAAAGGCAGATTTGCAGAAGAGGAGACACAGATCTTCCATCCGCTGGTTCTCTCCCCAAGTGGCCACAATGGCTGAAGCTGAGCCGATCTAAAGCCAGGAGCCAGGAGCCTCTTCTGAGTCTCCCACATGGGTGCAGGGTCTCAAGGCTTTGTACTGTCCTTGACTGCTTTCCCAGGCCACAGGCAGGGAGCTGGATGGGAAGTGGAGCTGCAAGGAAGCAAACCAGTGTCTACATGGGATCCGGCATTTGAAGGGGGAAGGTTAGCCAATTTAACCGTGGCACTGGGTTTTTTTTTTTTTGTTTAATTTAATTTTGACAATCCTTACAAATTTAATTGGGGTAAAAAAGGTTCAAGGTCTAAAGGGGGATATAGAGGAAGAAGCCCCACCCAGTCTCCCGCCCACCCCAAGTCCCGGGTGTGGGGCGCGCTCCGAGATACTCGATCAAGTGGTTCCAATAGTTCACCATTCATGGGTCGTTGCCAGTCTCGCCACCCCAATCATGATGTGGTCATTGAAGAGTTCATTGATTGACACAGTCCCTTCTAGGGTCTCCGTTTGCCCAGTCTCTGCTGCCAACAGATGGCTGAGGTTGTTGCTTGATTTGTCCTGTCTTTCCCTGGTTAGGACTCCGAGTCCGGTGTCTCGAATGGGAAGATCCTCGAAGAAATTTTGAGGTATTCCCAGTCCAGATTCCTGCTGTTTTAGTAGCATAGGGCCCGTCACAGTCCACTGCCCCGGTCAGCTGGCGGCTGCAGTTGCTGGGCCGGTTCTGTCTCCACCCGTGTCCTCTTGCAGTCCCGCCTGGTTCCACCCTGGACGCATTTGTCCCTCGCACGTACCGGTAGGAGTTGCAGCCCAGTCAGGGCGGCCCACAGTAGCCTCAACCAGGCCCACCTCCTACCCTGGCTTGCCGGTATATATGGCATACTAGCCCAGTCTGTCCCCAGTACCCTTCTGTTCATATTCTTGCCAACAGGTGTTGCCACCTACTTCCATCTAACTATTTCCTCCTACCGTCCCTAACGGATATTGTTGGGAGTCTGTCTAGCCACCCCAGCCCCTGTCCTAGTTCCCATGCCCTCTCGTGGGAGGTGATGACCCACGAGGGAGGAACCCACTATTTCCCTCCCAGGTCGCTCCCATTCCAGTTTTGCCCTCTCCATTTGGCCCTGTGGTTCAACTCAATGTGTCTAACCCTTTGTACCAGCTTCCGCCAACTGGTGCTACAACTAAGCCCCAACAACCCTCACCAACTCTGATTGTAGCTTGCTCCAGTGGGAATAGTCAGCCCAGCCTGGTTTTCACCCAATCTGGTCCCCATGAGGTGCACAGGCGCTGTGTCCCTGCCTGGTCTAGTCTACTCCCCACCCAGCTCCCGTTCCTCAGTGTAATTTGCTGTTCAGCTAGGGAACCTCCGCTTTTTCTCCTGTCAGCTCTGCCGCCTCCTTTCCTGGTTCTCACATGTGTTGGTTGGGTGCTGCGGCTGCATCCGGCTCAGGCTACCTCACCTTGGCATTCCAGCTTGTGTGTTGCTTTTGTTACGACCGGACCTGGTTCGACCCACACTCTGTTCTGGCGGTCAGATTTACCAGTGGATGACATGAACAGATTCAGCCTGGTCTGCCCCCGACCCATGCCAAATGCATGCCAGTGGGACTCTTTCTATGACCTCTTGGCTGTTGCCTTGCATGTTCCTTGCGCTGACCTGCAGGGTCTGTGTCCTGCCAGAGGAGTTGCCTGAGCTCCTCCATCAGAACCCCTCCATGTGCCAGGTTTCGCGCATATCAGTGGGTCCATGTGCCAGTTCGCCTCTTATCCTAGTAGGAACAGTGGTCTTTCCTAACTGGCCATCATCCCGTTCTGGTTCTTGCTGTAGAGTGTTTCAGTGCAGCCACGGTCATCCATGCCCCCATATAGCTTGTACATGGCTAAGTTGAGGTTGGGACCTAGCCTAGTCCGTCCCACATCCACCCTGGTACTCCAGAGCGCCAGAAGGTGTTAGTGTCTGGCCCGGTCCGGTACATCTTTTCCCAATCCACCTTTGTGCCGAGGGAGAGGACAGCTGTATCCAGACCCTGCCGCAGCCCCGTCCCCCTGTCATGACCCCTGCCTTAGACTCTGTGGCTCAACTTTGTGCTTAATGTGAACCAGTTGGAGCCAAATCCAAGCTGGGCATGTCCTGTGTTGCACCCTGTGTTCCAGTCATACTAGTGGACTAAGGTTTGCTTAGTCCGAACATTCATCTCTCAGTCCCGCACTTACATTAAGGTTTCATGTCCCGGTTCCTGGGAATCACCAGAAATTAGTATCTCACCTACACTAACGCTGGTCTTACTTTTGGGTGTCCCGAAGCACCTATTTCATATCATCAAAACCCCAGAGCTCGCCGCTGGGCGGCCAGCAGGCAGAGCCTGGCACCACTTGGTGCACTGGCCGCCCAAGGCCTGGGTCTCTGCCCCCGTCTCGCGACGGACGGGGGCTGTGGCTGGGACTCCGGCATGGTTCGGACCGGAAGGGGCCCTCCCATCGAGCACCACCTCGCATGGAAGTTTAACCCCGCCCCTGTCCGGAGACTCGAACCGCCCAGCCTGTCCTGCCGTCAGCTTTTGGCTGGCGGGGACAGGGGGGAGCCAGGATTTCACCCCCAGCCCCCCTGCCAGCCCTCGCGAGTACTCACCCGCGAGGGGGCTTAGTTACCCCCGGGCCAGGAGAGGGCCGGGGTCCCTGCCCCCGCCGCAAGCGGCGGGGGCTGTGGCTGGGACTCCGGCATGGTTCCGTGGCACTGGGTTTTTAAAAAAATCGTCTTGGAAATTCCTTCCAGTGAATTACTTTTCTGAATATTCCCCTTTGTTACTGGACTCATTGCTTAGTAAATTTATTTGCCATTCTTTCTGTGGGAACTTGAGACATGACAATGTTGGAATATTTTGCTTGATGGGTGAAAGGATAGAACTTGAACCCTAAAACAACAGTGTCAGAATTGAGAATTATCTGTCCACAAGGTCATTGCTATGGATAAGGTAAGGGGATCTCCGACTTGTGGATAAATAGTATGCTACCATTTCTCTATTTTCATTCTGTTATTTTATGCTAAGCCTTAATTTTCAATTAAGATAATTTTTCATACTGCTCAAAGTTCTGTTTTCCTCATGAAGTGGCAGTTCAAAGATGAAAAAATACTGACTGAAGTGCTAGTGAATGAATTAAAATCGATCTGCGGGCTCGACATGATAGCCTAGTGGCTAGAATCCTCACCTTGAACATGCTGGGATCCCATGTGGGCGCCGGTTCATATCCCAGCAGCCCCACTTCCCATGCAGCTCCCTGCTTGTGGCCTGGGAAAGCAGTCGAGGACGGCCCAAAGCCTTGGGACCCTGCACCCGCGTGGGAGACCTGGAGGAAGTTCCTGGCTCCTGTTTTTGGATCAGCTCAGCTCCAGTCATTGCCGCCACTTGGGGAGTGAATCAATGGTTGGAAGATCATCCTTCCTCTCTCTCTCCTCCTCTTTGTATATCTGGTTTTCCAATAAAAATAATAAATGTCTTTAAAAAAAACATCGATCTGCTTTTGCTGCTGTGAAGCGCCTGTAGCTAGTTGGTTTTGCGTGTCTTGCGCTGCACTGGTTGACACAGAACTGTGAAGTCATTGTTCTTTCCTCGCATACATATTGTTTAGTTTTTTTTTTTGTTTTATTAGAAAGATAAACCCAGGGACCCTTATACCGGCTATAGGCATTCCAAGCAGTGGCTTAACCGAATGTCCTCCTCGTACAGATCTTGAGAGGCCTGTCACTAGCGTGTTCACTTACCAATAGCAGACCCCGGGCCCCTGGCTGTCGGTGGGGCCGGATTGGGGGCGGGAGCGGGGAAGGGTTGTGGGAGAGTCTGCTAACACATGAAGGAAACTGAAGGCTGGGACTTTGCATGTTTATCTGCGTGGAGATGTCGATTTCATGCACGCACAGCCCTCTGCTTTGGCAAAAGGTAGAAGTGTAAGGCAAATCTAAATGAAGATTGGAAGGCCCGTCGAACCTTCCATGTACACAGCAGCTCGACAGCTGCAGGGCTGAGGCGG